CTTATCTCGTCACAAGAGTCATTGAAGTTCTTCCAATGCACCATTATGTCATCTAGGTAGAGGAATAGGGCATTCCAGAGTAGTCCAGAGAGAAAACTTTCCATTAGTCATCAAATGTATGCGATGTATTACATACTGTAACACAATAAATTGTCACAGCCTATTTCCCGCAGTAATGGGCGTCTTTTCTCGACTTGATTTGTAAGACTTACCCTTGTCATTATCCACATTTTTTAGCTTTTACGTACAAAACATAGATAACACATCCAAATTAGAGTCATTCCTTGGAAGTGGGTAAGCATTGTTCTTTGTGGTAGTCCACACAAGACCTTGTGGGTCTATCCTTCTTTTTCATATTTCTCCATGTTCTTACATGGCTTCTATTTTGTTGAGAACCTCAATCTGTTTTGCAATTAGGACTTTTGTTGCCGACTAATGTATTAAAAGTGCGTTTCCAGTATCCATTCCATGATATATTTTTTGTGTGACCTAAGTCAGAAAGTCCACTAGACGAGATATGTATGTATTCTATGAGCAAGTCATGTAATCTTTATCATTCATCATATGTAATATTTTCATAGACCTGATCATACACCCCTCTCTAAACGAGGTGATCAGCTCACATTATGTTAAGATTTAACATCAGATTTCTTACTTTTTCCTAAGGTGACTACTTCTGACGTTTTTTGGTGCGGAAATACGTCTTGTAGAATCTGAAATTTCTTAATGTTCATTCAATATTTGTTTGTTCTTACATAGCCCTAATGATGATATCCTTATTGTTTAGATCTACAGTAGTTTTTCCAATTAATAACCCACCAGGACAAAATGGTGTGTTTCGCTCTACCAAAACCAAGTCACTAGACCTGAGGTTGTTTCTTAGAATTACAGTATAAGTATCTCACTTCTTGGTGGTATAATAATCCTTGTTATCATTAAACGTTCAATTTACGGTGTCCTAACTGATGAATATACATAACGATTTCTTTGTCATACACTGTGTAATTGTTTAAAGTGAAAATAACCTCATGTTCATTTTTCTTCATGAAGTATATTCTCAATATGTGCTCTTTCTCAATCTCAAATACCTACACATCATTCTGTGTACAGAAGATTCCCACAGTGAGCCTTACTTCTAGCTATGATCTGTGGCAGTTATTTTAGTGTAAAGTTAATAGTTTATAGAAAAACTATTAATCACCAAGGGTGTTCGAAGATCAGCAATCCTCCTTCACCCTGCTCGAGGTTAAAGATTAGAAGTTCGATGGAAGCTCATCGTTCTAATGGGCCAAGTGGGCGAAAAAACAGAAATTAATGAATAAATAAATAAATAATGATAAAATAAAATAAAAGAGTATTAAAATTAAAAAATATATATATTGAGTGCACACACACACGCATATATATATATATATATATATATATATACATATGTATACGCATACACACATACATACACGCAGATAATGATGAAGCAAGTGGGCGGAAATGAAGTCGAAGGCAGGTTGTTCTTGTAGAAGAAACAAGTCGTGAGCGATTGTTGATAATATATTGAAACAAACTACTTCTAGCTTTCTTATAACAGGAACTTCATGATCATTTGCTGTTTGCATCAGTCCATCTTCTTACTTCATCCCCAGGAGCAATATCCCAATATTATCAGATTGGAGTGGGCAACGGTAGTTAGTTGTAGAATCAATGTTGGTCAACATGCTGCAAAGTTTCACATTAATTAATCCAAAGACCCATATTGTAGGTTTCTTTAAATATTGAACTCCTTATCTCAGTTGTGGCAGATAGAGTACTATCAGCTGAACTTTGCCTCTTATGTACAGCTAATTCTTGTTTTTTAGTATTTGGTAAGCTCTTTGTTGTTCCTTGCAACTGGTGTGGTTTGAGACTCTTTCTCAGAGGATAGGGATTGTTTCATTGGTATGTTATCATCTCTTGATTCACCACAATCTCAGCTGCTTTTCATATTTACAGAAATTTCTTTATCAGTCATCCTTTTGGAACAAATTTTATTTCCAAGAGGAACTTTTGTCCAGTTAACTTGCAGTTCAAACAACTATTGTTATGCAGTTTATTTCTTCTATTCTGAATAAACAGTTGTCTAATTAATCTTTTGAGTTCTTCTAGACTTAAATCAGAGATAGATGATGTTTCCATGCTTTATACTTTTACAATCCAATTATACCCCCATGATGATTTTAGTTATTTAGTTGCAACAATAATTGATTCAAGCTCCACTGTCAATCATACAACTTCCATTAAAGATGTAAACCTATTTTTCTTTAGTCTAATTCACATACCCTCATCCACTATGGATTTATTGGCATGTGACCCATACACATATAAGGGTCACATGCCAATAAATCCATCTATTCACTGAGATCATCTGGAAGGTAATTGGACAACTCTTTTCACATCTTCAACAGGTTCATCTGAAATCTAATCCTTACTCTTTTTTCAGTTTTGCTTTAGAAACTTCCTCCCATTTGATAGGCAGCTACCAATGCAAAATTGCCCAATATTGTTAAAGCTGGCCCTTTTAAATGAGTAGTAAGATAAATATCTCATTGTTTACCGTTTTTTCCTACATATACTCTTTGTAAAGCATTATTTTGTGTTTGTTGTTCAATTTCCATGAAAAGTTACTCGAGGGTTTTATTCGCTAGCCATTCCTAATTTTGAAATGATAGATTAGGGGGAAGGCAACTAGCCAACATCATCTACCACTATTTCTGGAGCTATTATTTACCAAAAAATAATCTTTGGTACCTTTTCTTTATAATCTGTTGGTTTTTCAGTTGGATGATGTTGAACTATCCTACTAAATTAATTAACTATAAAACTTGGTGGTGTAGACTTTATAGTTACAGATAGCGCAAAGGTAGTAGTCACATATGTGGATAAGATGGGCTCTCCCATTCTATCTGCCTTAGGTAATGATGACTGAGGTTGAAATTCTTGAACAGATGTGGAAAAAGGTGTGGATAATTGAATCTTCATATTTTGGTCCAGATTCACAATGTTTTATTTTAGCATTGATGTTTTTTGTATGTCACTGATATTTTTGTTATAGTCCTTTTCCATTTCACTGATAGCCTTTTGTACTTTTGTTTTTATAATCATTCTTATGAATCTACTATGGCTTTTTGAACTTTGGTCTGTACATTTTCTATGACTTGTTAGACCTTGCTCTTAGTCATATTTTTATAATTGTTCTGTAAACCTTATATCTTGTTCTTATAACTCTTCTCTTAACATCTTTTTTCCTTTTTTTAATATTTCAACCTATTACCTCTTTCTTTTAGATGTTCTTTTAATTTTCTATCTTTTTCTTCTTGAACTTTTTTATTTTCTACCTCTTTCTTCTTGATTTTCTTTCTAATGTTCCATAATTTCTACTACATTTTCAATTTTCTTTCGAGCACAAGTCATATTTAAACTCAGTCTGAGTTCTATTTTATTTCTTGCTAAAATAATCCCATTCCTGTGATAAGTATTATAATGGTCTCTATTCTGGGTAACTTCATTTCGATTATTCTGTAAAAAAATATTTTTGTTTGTGCTTTTGTTGTTCCGCACAAAGCTATACATTGGACTATCTGTACTGTGTCCACCACAAGTCTTTAGACTTAGGATTGAGCTGTTGGTGACAAAAGGAAAATAAATATTCAAAGGTCTATTCACTAAATAGTGACGAAAACAATTCAATTAGTTGATTACAAGTTTTACACGTTAGCTTAACTAATGTTCACTGATAGGCCTAAGTTCACAGTAGATGTTAATATAATAATTTCACTTATCTGCTAATTGCTCGCTGTTGGAAACACAATCTTAATACTCTAAAACAAAACTGAACTATCCATCTGATTAATAAAATCAGTCAAATAATAACTCTTTATTTTATACGCATTGTAACTTACTGACAGACTTAAAAATCAGTAGTTATATATTCTGACTCAACTCGTGTTTTATACTGTTAAAACTTTTTTAAACTTTTGGAGAGAATCTCGAAGCTCAAACCTCCATCTAGCCAATCGACAATACAAACATCTAAATCAAAAATTTTGAAACTAGCTGTAGAAACATTTTATATTTTGTTGTCCAACTTCTTGAAACAGGTAGTGAATATTATTCTTTTTTTAATAGTTCTAAATTTCATAAATAGCTAGTCATTAATAACCCATCTCTAATATAAACTAATTTTTCATTGTCGAAATTTAAGAAAATGACTGCTTTTCTAATATGATATGAGAAAGAAAATATGTACTACATTGATATTATAACCTCTAAGAAGTCAAAAAAATATTAACAAGTGTTGCAGTTGGTCATTAGTTTATAGTAATTGACGTATTTTTAATGTAATTTGTTAAGGTTAACATAGGCTGAAGAAAATAGAGGGTCTGTTTTAGAAACCACAAGAAGAGCTGCACAATTTATTAATTTTTTTTTTTTTGTATTTCAGGAAATACAACCGGCAGATAAGTCACCACGGAGTCAATTCGTTACAGTCGTTTAAAAGCTTCTAATGTTGATGATTTGAACAGACCTTTTTGTTCTGTGTATATTTGTGACTCCTGCCATGATTTATTAACAGTCAACCTTCTCACGAGGTGGTCTTATACTCCCAGGATTACCAACGTAGTTTAACACACAAAAGACTCTTGTTTCTTGTTTCGTCGGGAAATTGAATTGTTTATTAGAGCTACCGAAGATACAGCGTTGTAAAAGAAGCTCAGGGCTTCAGGTTCATCTAGGTATCACATGCCATGGGTAATACATGCTGTGGACGTATTTTCTCACGAAACCTGCGCGTTGTTGTTCACGAAAAACAATACTTGTTGTAAAATATTTTGTGTTATGTTTTTTTTAATCTAGTGTACAAAGTATTGATTAGGAAAATATTTTAAATTAATTAAGTAAGAAATTCAGCCTAATGTTTAGCTGTCATTATTTATTTTGAAGCCTTTCTGAACTTATTTTATCAAACCTGTCAAAACTATGGGTAAAGTGTGCAGTGAATGATGGGAAATTTCCTCCCCAAGGCACTGTTCCTAAAAAAAGAGAATACTCTCTCGTCATCAGTGGTGTCTGTTTTGGACAACATTGTCAGCCAAGCAGAAATAGATAAAGATTATGAAGTTTATAAATTTGCTAATTATCGGAAAGAGGGCACTCTAATCGAAGCCTACAATCGTGGAGGGAGTAGGGAGGTAGAAAGAATTGCCCGAGAAACTCTACAGCCATACATGTATGACAACGGTGAGGGAACGGTTGTGTCGGAACTTGAATACCTACACTGGCGTCACCGTAAAAAGGATGAGGTGAGAGAATAGTATATACAATTTATAGACTTCACAAGCACTTTATGGAAATAAACCCAATGTTTGACCTTAATTCTAAACACACTCAGAACCGCACGATCATGTTATTTACTTTTATACATTTTATATATGCACTTTGACGGTGCAGTTTACAACATTTCAGAGGAACCTAAGGGTTTTCACAGATTTGTAAATCGAATACTTAAAATAATTAATCAGCTTATGAGCAACAAGATAAAAATGCTACTTTTAAAGTTACTTCATAAAAACACAAATCTACCGGTGGGTTAGCAGAAATTGTACGGATTTACATGCTAAAATCCAGGTTACGAATCCCTGCGATGGACAAAGCATAGATATCCCATTCTAAAACCACGCCCAAAACAATCATAAAACACAAACTGTGTATTTAAACAAGTTTATTTTAACTAAAAAAGTTATTATCGCATCGAACTTTAAATTTTGCTTTATTAACTTAAGAGTCCAGCCCTAAGGCTCAGTGCTTAGTTTAAAGGCTTATGACCCACACATTTTGAATTCTATTACTTAGATTGACCAAATGCAGACAGCCCTTGTGTAGCTTTGCACTTAAACAAGCGTAACGTAAGAAAACACAATGTAGATCTCTGAAGAAGATATCAAATATTCACTCTCTAAAACAATCATGGGTATTTGTTATAAAACAATGATTTTTTATCTTTTTTGTTATCTTAAATTAAGGTAGCATAATTTCCTTTTAGCATTTAATTATCATCCGTTAGTGTGTTCTATATCTGGTTAGCTTGTTGAATTTTGTACAAAGCCAGTAGCATAATTTCCTTTTAGCATTTAATTATCATCCGTTAGTGTGTTCTATATCTGGTTAGCTTGTTGAATTTTGTACAAAGCCAGTAGCATAATTTCCTTTTAGCATTTAATTATCATCCGTTAGTGTGTTCTATATCTGGTTAGCTTGTTGAATTTTGTACAAAGCTAGTTGAGGGCTTTTTTACGCTAGCCGTCTCTAACTTAGAAATGATAGACCAGAGGTAATGCAGCTAGTTTACACCAACCACAGCCAATGAAAAGTTTGACTGCCCGTTATATTATAATGTTTCTATGGTTGAAAGAGTGAACATGTTCCGTAAAAGCAATTTCAACCCGTGACTCGCAAGTTGCGAGTTAAAAGCCCTAACCAACAAATTATTCAAAAGGCTGGTATATGCGATTGTACGCGTTAGTCAGTAGAACTAATATCTTAAATTTATTCACATACCATTAGATCTTGAACAATATTATGTTTTCTATAAAGTTTAATCGTTATTAGCTTCTTCCATTCCTTCCAACTAATCGTCTTCTAATGATTAAACAAAAAAGATACATATTATTTTTCACAAATAGCTTGTTTAAAATATTATCTTGGGATATTATTAAAATCTCTTATTAAGCATATAAATTCAAGCATTTACATTATAACACATGGATTCAATTAGAACATAAAATGATAGTTATAAAAAATAATCTGATGACAATATGTTGAATATCCCCTAACATGAAAACATATGTTCAGTTCTGATTCACATATCCTCACTTACCTTTAAGAAAAGAACTCGTGATCAAACATTAATTGATTCTCTAGAAATTGCATTATGTTCGTTCTGCTTAAAATAAAACTTTGTAAGAAAGTAAACTAATGGGTTTGAAGAATTATCGCGGTAGAACTGTTCACTCTCTCTAGCAGAGGAGTTTGAAATAGCGTAAACTAGGGGGTATTAAATCTTACCCCTGTAGAACTGTTCACTCTATCTAGCAGAGGAGTTTGAAATAGCGTAAACTAGGGGGTATTAAATCTTACCCCTGTAGAGCTGTTTACTCTGCTTAATAATTAAGCATTAAATGAAAGTCGGTTAACGGGTATGAAAACTAACCTTCCTAACTACATTGACCCCTCTTTATAAGAAGAAAGTAAACGAACCGATTAATCTGAGTTCAATCAACAGAGACAGAGCAGGAGCTCAAATTTCTTTAAAAGAAACAAATAGTAATCAAATTCATACACATTCAGATACTTGCTTAAAGAGAGAATGAAAAATAATAATATTTATAAAGTGCGAGTTACATTAAAGAATATTAAATAGCGAAAAAACATACACATAAAAACAATATATACATATATATATGACACATATACTGTTAGTTCACTACGTTTCACCGTGAATATGTGGCTAGAGATTATGAACACCTAAAACAATGTAGAATCTTAAATGTGTTAAGTGAAAAACAAGAACAGTTCATTTGTTTATTCCTAATGATCTTATTGTTCACTGGTTATCCTACACCTTTTAGTTCAAGATATTGGACAGTGGGTATTGGTAGCTTTAAGGCTATCTATCGTCTTTCATAACTTTGAACTACTGAGCAGAGGGAAGGCAGCTAGTCAGCAGCACCATACCATCCACACTACCGTTCTTATAATGCACCTTCAGCATATAGTGTGAATATATTTTGTGGTGTTGCACTAATTAGAACCCCGCTCTCCACCGCCGAAATCCATAGCTCTACCAAAGAACCAGCTCCCACCCATATGTACTCCATAAATTTGGTACAAGTTACCCAACACTTTGCACTTTTTATCTTTTCTTCAAAAAAGAAGTAAATTTTCACTTAAACAAAAAACTGATTTTAGTTTAGACATTGTTTGTGCCTAGATTACCGTCTTTTTGTGTATCTTTTATCCTCTTAGATAAAAATGTTTTAATTTTAAAGACTTTCACCAAACAGAGAAAAATATCATTTTTCTAAAATAAAATGAACAGGGTTTTTCTTCACAGAGAGACTTATTTATCTCAAAGAGAAAATAGGTCAAGTTATTCAGTGTGAAAGGTCTTTTATCGTAGTCAAACAAATCACACGAGTGTAAAGTGCTGTTTAACTTGTAATATATGTATAACGCATATGTGTTACTTAGACAATAAGTAAATCAGAGTTGTCAGTAGAGTACAAACTAACATGGAAACTCATATAAATCTTTCATTACATATTTATTACAGGATTTTAATTATTATTATTTACACAAAAATAGCATATTCACATTATAAGCATAGATAAGTAAATGTGATTTTTGTCCTGAAATAGCGTAGAATAACACGATTTCCGTTGATATTATTTACGTGTATAGACTGGCATAGCTTTACAAAAGAAAGTTATAATTCGCTCACAGGTTTTAATATCAAAGAGACCAGAAAACTACAACTGTTGTGAAAATTTTATAACATATATTTTTTCCCATAATATTCTAGATATTTTCAAAGTACATAAATATTTTTCATGTGAACTTGCATGTCGACTGCATTATTTTTACCGGTGAATCACTATACTGATTCGATGTATTCAACATATGAAATTGACTGTCTTTTTTTTTCACATCGAAATAACATAAATGATTAAACTGAGTAATATCAAACCAAAACTGTAACGCCCAAAACCTGCATGACTTGAGCTAGGTAAAATCAATGTGCACATAATATAATATTATGATTTTCTGAAATAAATCATTATGTGTATGTAGATCTTTACGAAGTTAATTATTCGATAACCAAGCCGAATGTTTCTCTCATAAACATCTATCGATCTGATATTACAGTTGAAATGTCGTACTAAGTTTGTTAAGTCAAATAATTCCAAGTTTAAGTTGATTTATAAAGTTTTTAGTTAGTTATGAATAACTTACAGAAAAAACAAAAATCTATGCATGTTATTCTACTGTGATAAGCGTATTGCTTTCATTTTCAAGTTATTTAAAAAAAGGTAAATAGATAATACGAGAATGAAAACGTTCATCTTCTTTAGAACTTCATATTTTCAAGTTCAGTTCGTTACGGAAAGAACAAGCACTGTTAAATAAATATAAGTTATATTTACTTATACTTTTCACCCAGCTTTATAAAATGATATTTAAAACAGTTCTATGATAATTATTTAACAAGTCGCTAGTCGATCGTATAGAAATTAGTGGTAATGCGTTTTCGTAGATTCAATACTATATATAATACAATACTATATGTCTTGGAAAGTACTGTTTCATAGAATAGTATGCTATACACATTAAAATATTGTTCCATGTTATACTATTCCACTTATAATGAAATAATGCATATAATAAGTAAAATAAAATACTACGATATGCTACATACATTGAAAAGTTGTATTCAGTTCTACATTACATGCAATAAATCAGTGATGTAAGAAATGTAGTTCACTACTTCATTTACATCATGAAAGAAAGAGTAAACACATGATTTAGGTTATCTCAATTTAATGACTGTTTTTAAATTATATGTAATATTATCTATTATACCATTTTTGTTTCGGTTTAGGCTCTAGACATACAGTGGGTCAAAAGCTCGTACTTAATCACTTATCAGTAATATGGATATATCTTCTTGGTATTTTCCGACATACCCCTGTATGTTGTATTGTATTAAACTGACAGCTACACGTGCTCATACTGTGTGACTCGCATATAACAATAATAGTAACTAATTTTTTGTCTATTTGCAACTGTTGTGTAATAACAAACCTAGGACTAGCCTCACGTGCCCCTACTGTTAAGTAAGCAATTGCTTACCTCGCATGCTCTTAATGCTTAGTCACAAGCACGTGTTTATATCATATTCTTGCTCTTTAAAAACAAACCAAATGATTGTCTTAAATGTCCCTGATGTTTAGCTACTCTTCCTGTTTAGTAACAAACCAAGTCCTCTTTCTACGTACCATTCCTGTCTAGTAAGAAACCAAGTCCTTCTCCTATCTACCCTTTCTGTCTAGTAAGAAACCAAGTCCTTCTCCTATCTACCCTTCCTGTCTAGTAAGAAACCAAGTCCTTTTCCTACCCACCCTTCTTGTCTAGTAAGAAACCAAGTCCTTCTCCTATTTACCCTCCCTGTCTAGTAATAAAACAAGTCCTTCTCCTACCTACCCTTCCTGTCTAGTAAGAATCCAAGTCCTTCTCCTATTTACCC